CAAGAATTTGTTAGCAAACCCCAAACACACACAAGCTTACATACATACATACATACATACATGCACTTTGACGTGGTTTAATGGTTACCAAGCATGTCGCACTGAAAAGTGAGTTCGATCCTCACTCAGTGCCCCACACTTTCGCCCTTGTGCCACATCTAAGCTACGCTTAGAAAATTAGCATACATACAGAGATACATGTGTGCGCACTATATATTTAAAATGAGCCTCGCAAGTTCAGTGAAATCGTCGGGCATCATACTGAGTCATGTTATTTCTCGAGATAATGGAATAACTTGCTGATTGTGTACATTATCCTTGAAGAACACAAACCGGAACGATACAGGCAATGCAGTAAAACATTCCAACTATATCGCTTGAGTCAGTCTTTTGTCAGGTTGGACATCTCTTGGTTAGCTTTGCCGTACAAACAGGATGACAACATAAATGTCCTGGTCTCTTTCGACGAACAGGTTCTCTCAGTCCGTCCGAAGTTTCAAACTATCTGATTGCGTTAACTGTCTTACTACACGGTATGAAGTCCACGAGAGCACAACTTTTGCACCCTATAATACAATTGCCATCAATGTCTTCACTGATTGATGAATTTTGTATTTGGTGGGAATCAGTCGATGACAATGAATGCTTCCAAGTCATAGAATGAATCTTTGTCTCTATTGTAACATGATGTACGGAGGCTTTGCCCCCTGCGGGCGCGCTCCGGACAGACACCATCAGCTTCCTTATTCTTAGAATGCCCATGAGCTGGAACTTATGTTTTTCAATCAACTGCTTTAGGATCCAAAGTTGAATTTTTACCTTAGCAGACAAAAACATATTACATCTCGTATGTCTGTTGACAGCCATCTTTGTGACGTCAAATATTCATGATCTTAATATCAGGTACCCAAAAAAGATTTGGCTAATTTTGTTAATTTCTGGCCCAGCTGTTTAGTTACTAACAAACATAAGTATACAGTAAGCAACTTGTATTGACAAATACATTGTTAAATGATTCATTTCTTAGTTTATTACATAACTGATATCCTTTTATTTCTCATTTAAAGCCCTCAAAATGACTGATAAAAAAATTGGTAATTCGTGCTTGTCTGTCGTATGAGTTTAAACTTGGTACAAGTGCATCATGTGCCGCTCGTAAGCTATGTACAGCCTTTGGCGAAGGTGCAGTAAGTGTACGTAATTGGTTTCAGAAGTTTCATTGTGGCAATGAAACCCTCGAATAAGAACCTCGCGCTGGACGACCAATATCCCTAAACAATGAGAATTTAAAGGCAGCCATAGAATCAAATTCAGGTTTAACATGTCATGAACTAGCTTCGAGATTTAATGTAAGTGATGAAACTATAAAACTATATTTGCATCAGCTAAGAAAGAAATGGAAATTAAGCAAATGGGTAGCATATGACTTAAAACCAGCAGACAAACTGCAGAGGCTTACCATATGCTCTTCTCATCGCAGTAGACTAACAAAATAACCCATTTTTGATCGAATTATGACATATAATGAAAAGTGGATCATTTATACAAACATCATTGGTTATCGCCGCGTGATCCTTTGCCACTATTAAAAAAAAAAAAACTTTTGCTGTGTGTTTGGTGGACATGTCAAGGAATAATTCATTATGAGTTTTTAAAAAACGGGTAAACCATTACTGCTAACAAATATTGCGATCAACTTGAACGAGTTCAGGAAAAATTTGTTGAAGAAACGGCCTGCATTAGTAAATAGAAAACAAGTTTTGTTTCTTCAAGACAATGCTCGCCCACACGTTGCAAAAATGTCCCTTGCCAAGATAGCAGAGCTAAAGTGGGAGATTATGGTTCATCCACCGTATTCACCAGACCTCACCCCAACAGATTTTCACTTGTTTTTAGGCTTAGATAATCATATGAAGAACAGGACATTTAATAATGAAGATGACATGAAAAGTGCATAACTTTTTCCAAAGTAAAACTAAGGATTCTTACAAAAATGGCATTACTCCGTTGTTAAACTGTTGGGAGAAGGTTATTGAATGTGATGGTTCATATTTTGATGAATAAATGCATTTAAGATTTTAAATATGCATCTATTTATATATAGGTGACCAGATAGAAAGATATAGCCTGATAGAATTTAATTATGTCGGCACAGATGAACATATCATTGTATGAGTTAAGTCTGCTAAATGAAAAATGCTTTCTATAATGAAAATCAATAATCATTTGAAAACAAACAGATCGAAACATGCATCGTATTATATAACATGGCAGTTGCCATCACAGAGAAGAGATTAGTCGATCAGTGCTTTGATTTGCGAGGAAACAGTGTACGTTCCTTGGGAAATCTATCAAATCGGAAGAGTTCACGTTCCTTGGGTAATCGATCTAATCGATAGTCTATATCCCTTCAACATCGGTTATCATTAGAAAGAAGACATTTATTACCGGAGTCCAAATCTGAGCAAATCTTTTGATTTTGATTCGATTCCAGCATTCCCCCTACCCTGAATCTACCCAATACAAGAGTTATATATATATATATATATATATATATATATATATATATATATATATATATATATATATATATATATATAGCTTCACCGGAAGTGATTTACTGCTTATTACCGGAAACCGGACAATCGTTTCAGTAAGGATGTACGGTGAATTTTTCACATTATTTTTTTGACGTAAAATTAATTCAGCGTAATACATCGTTTGCACAAGTTCACAAAACACTAAGTAAAATCCCTTCACCTAAATTTAATAAGCTTTATTTCAAATACAAACATATAGAAACGTCGAAAACATAAAATATAAAAATTCGAAATATATTATTGAATATATAAAACATTTTAAGTAATCAATAAAAATAAAATAATCAATAAAATAAACCAACAAACGCCATGACACTAAAATACTAAATTGGCACTAAAATTTCAAGAATTTGGGACGAGAAAGATTTGTGCTTAAAGACAGTTTTCGGTCTTGATTGTTCGGAGAGTCGGTTGGAAGCACATCGGAACTCATGACGATTTCAAAATGGGGACGCAGGTTTGCTATCGGAGGGCAAATAATTTTCTTTGCTAAGTTTTATCAATTACTGACCCCCGTTGATGAAAATAACTAATAAACGGAGCGTAATAAAAAATATAATAAAAACTGGACATCTACCTCTAGACATGAAGAGTGGAACGAATACAATCTACCCCCATAGGTTAAATAATGGGTTCGGTTCAAATCTCCATGTGGCTTGCCTAGATCGATATACACCTGACGAAGATCGACATAAAGATGGAGACAATAGTCCGAATGTAAATAGTGTAAATACGGATAACTACTTATCCCAGAAATTCAGACACTAATAATATATTTGGAAACAAAAAAAAAGTGTATAATTTACATTAGAATTTCACAAGCAATCTTATGCATTTGGCGCTGATGTGTGGCTTTAGCAGAAAAAAAAAGCGTTCATTAAATAAAGAAATTAAACAAAGATTTTTACTAGTGACAATTTTGGGAATATACGTGCAATATCTTTTGATGAA